TCGGTACGAGGCGCGGGCTTGGAGTGCTCTGGCCGACCTCTCGGCCCCCCGCCGCGCAGGGCCTCCCCGGGCGCCCCCTGCCCGGGGTCCGCTGGTGCGGAGGGCCTCTGCCCGAGGCCTGCTCGGCGAAGGTAGCCCGGTGACCAGTGCGGCCCCGTTAGCCGCTGAAACGGTGCTTACCCCGCGTCTGGAGACAAATGACAGCTCCGGGCCTCGGGGGAAGTGTTCACATCCCCTGAGGAGCAGCGGCTCGAGGCTGAGGCTGATTCCGGGGGAAATATTTTACATGTTTAAACTTTGTAGATGATGGAAGTCACAAAAATAAAACCTTGTTAATATATACAAACAAGCTCTGGCATAGAGTGGCAACCCTCCCTCCAGCGCCACCAAAAAGGTAAAACAGTTTGACCTCCACTGGCACATTATTTTAATATTCCATATCTGCTTCGCACTGGTTCTAGCAGGTGACCAATGCCATTATGAATTAAGTAAAATCTTACGTATTCATTTCTCCATCTGTGTGAGGGTCATGAGTTTACCTATTTAAATGGAAATTATGGTTTAGTACATGAAATGTTTCCCCCTTATATACTTACACTTGTTTCCTAAGACATCTAACTTTGTACATTGGTTTATGTTATATCTACTATTCATCTTTGATTAAATTCAGGAAAAAATTTTAGCATTAACTAAATTCATTAATTTGAAGGTGTTTGCTACTGTATCGAGGCTTGTACTTTTTAAAGATTTTGGAGGAGAACTTGGAAGACGGAATTTCCATTGTGGTCCTTTCTTTTTTCCCCGGAACCGTTTTCTATCCTTGGTAAAAATCAGATTGCTCAAAAATTGCTGCTAATCTGCATATGCAGTTCCTCCTGTAGCCAACCGCTCCTGAAGTGAAATGTGTGCCCATGTGCTTGTGTCCCACGTTTTCAAATACAAGTTTATGCTAATGGTGCTCTGGAAACGTCCAAATGGAAGATTACTCCTAGTTTTCACCTACGTATCAGACTTTCATAATGTGTGGTTCAGGGCAGTCATTCTGTAAAATCTCTCGGAAGGACCTTCTCTGATGTCTGCTCGTGGTCCGACACCTGTGTGACGGAGCCTGAGGGGCCAATGCGTTGTGCTTCTTCCCGATTCGGACTCATGGGCGCGTGCTGTTGACTTGTTCCCTGATGGAACACTTCCCTAAGGGAGTCATTTCCCCACAGAAATGTGACTGTTCCCCCCTTGTGACTAGTATTTTATGCAGAGATACTTTGAGAATATGTAAATATCCTGCTATTCCTCAAACTTTTGCTTATTTCTTGCTTCAGTCAATTAGGATGGCTTTCAAATGGTAATTTTCTAATTCCATCATTTCCTTTGTGTTCATTAGTTGCCTTTTACTGTAAGAAAGAGCTTTTCCCTTATTTTACTGTGAACTAATGAATTCTTATATTAATATACTACATTCCTTTAATTCAGTGCTTGAATTTTCAGATTTGGTTGTGAGAGCACTTAGTCTGACACGTGTGTCACTTTGGCATGTCCTTTTTAAATCTTGAAATATTTCCTTAGTTTTGGGGACAATGAGATTTTCTAGGTTCATCATGTATTTTCTTCAAGGAAAACTGACTCTTTTTAGTGGAAGGTGGCGTTTAGAAACCAAGATACGTGCTTGGTGTAGGTGGTCCTTGTTGCCACTGTGCTGTTGTTCAGCCAGATAATAATAGGAACTGGATTATGTGTCTCCGTACACATATGCATAAGTGTTCATATGTACGCACCTCTGTGTGCATACGTGTATTAAACCATGAATTCACAGTGAGTACCTCCAATTCTTTCTCCCTCTGTCCATACATGAATGGATTGCGAGTTTTCATTATCTTCCAGCTTTTAAAAATTACTATATTAAAGACAGTTTAGCAGTTTCTCACAAAACCAACCAAACTTTTACTATGATCCAGCAACTGCATTCTTGGCATCTACTTTTTAAAAGAGTTAAAAATTATGTTCACACAAAAACCTGCACACAGATGTTTGTAGCAGCTTTACTCATAATTGCAAAACTTGGAAGCAACCAAGATGACCATCAGTTAGGTGAATAAACTGTGATATGACCAAATGGTGGAATATTATTTGGTGCTAAAGAAAGAAAGAAACTATCAATACATGAAAATATGTGGAAGAATCTTAAATGCATATTGCTAAGTGAAAGTGAAAGAAGTCAATCTGAAATGTTTGCATACTGTAGATTCCAACTATACAACATTCTAGAAATGACAACTATAGAGATAGTAAAAAAAGATTAGGAACTGGGGAGGGTAAACAAATGGAGCTCAGAGGATTTCAAGGCAATGAAACTATTCTTCATAATACTGTAATGGTGGGTACATTTGTCCAAATACCAAGGATATACACCATCGAGAGCAAGTCCTGAAGTCCACTATGGGCTTTGGGTGATTATCATAGTCCATTTTCTGTGACCATAACAATATCACAAACTGGGTAATTTAGAGGGAACAAAATCTTATTTGCCTCACAGTTCAGAAGCCTGGGAAGCTCAAGAACATGATATGGGAAATATCTGCACCTCCCTCTTGATTTTGCTGTGAACCCAAAGCTGTTCTAAAAGAAAGTACTGCACAGGCATGTGTCACTTAACATGAATGTACTCCAAGAAATGCAGTTAGGCAACACTGTCATTGTACAAACATCCTGAAATGTATTTACACAAACCTAGAAGGCTATGACAGCCTGAGGCAACATAATCTTATGGAACCACTGTGTATACACAGCCTGTTGTTAATGGAAACATCCTGTGACACATGATAGTGCTTTTTAATTTTGCCAGTCTGGTAGAACTATTTCACAGCTGGGCATGGTGGTGCACACCTGTAATCCTAGCTCTTGGGAGCCTGAGGCAGGAGGATCACAAGTTCCAGGCCTCTCTGGATGAGGTATGATACCTTGTAAAAAGTAAATAAAACAAAATGGGCTGGGGATGTAACTCAGTGGTAGAGTGCTTGTCTTGCATGCATGAGGACCTGGATTCAATCTGTAGTACTGCAAAGAAGGGTGGGGAAACCCTATACAGTAATCGCACTACTCAGGGAGGCTGAGGCAAAAGGATCCTCAAGTCTGAGCCCAGCCTGGGCTACTAAGTGAGACCCTGTCTCAAAATTGAAAGTTAAGGCCAGGCATGGTGGCACACGCCTGTAATCCCAGCACTTGGGAGGCTGAGGCGGGAGGATCATTGCGAGTTTGAGACCAGCTTGAACTGTATGGTGGGCTCCTTCTTTAAAAAACAAAAAAAAAAAAAAAAGGGCCAAAGAATACACTGAATAAAGATCTATGTTAAAAAAAAAATTGAAAATTAAAAAATAAAGCTGGAGATGTAGCTCAGTATAAAGACCCTGGATTCAAACCCCAGTACTGCCAAAAAAAATTCAGTATAGATTTTTTGTTTTTTACTTTCTTATGAGCAAAGCTAAACATCTTTTTGTGTGTTGAAGGGCAATTTTTTTACATCATTTTTGTCAACAGTCTGTCATTTTTAGTTGGAGTTTTGGTCAACTGTCAAATTTTTATGGTGGTTTTAGCATATAAAAGTTTTTTAAATGTTAGTCAAATTTATTTTCTTTTATTACATCTATATTTTGAGTCATTATTAAAGTACCCTGTTTACACCAAAGTTAAAGCAAAATTTACCTGTGTTTTCTTCTAGTACTTTTATGGTTCCAGTTTTTGTGTTTAGATCCCCGATCAGTGCATTGATGTTTATTTTTGTGTATGGTATGGCACATGGACCTAGTGTTTTTTTCTCCCATGGATACCCATTTGTCCCAGAACCATGGACAAAGTCCATCTTTGTCCAGTGATACAAGAGGCCACCTTTATCATATTCTTAATTTCTGTACACACCTTGGACTATTTCTGGGCTTTCTGTTCTATTCCATTGGACTGTTCCCATGGTGTCAGGTTGTCTTGATTATACTGACTTTAATGTATGGTTTAATGTATGATACGTTAGTGACTTCTCATAAACTTTCCACTTTTAGTGCTTTCCTGGCTATTCTTGCATTTTAATTTTTTCGTGTAAATTCCTATATCAACGTATCTAGTTCCATTAAAGTTTTTGGTATTTTATTGGAATTGAATTTATAATTCATAGCGAACCCAAATCTTTGTGATATTTGGTTGTGATATCAAAACAAGATTGTCTTTCCACTTAGATTTTTGCATTGTTTAGAAGTGTTTTTAAATTTTTCTCGTATCAAATTTATTCTTTTGTTCTTATTAAATTTATTGGTAAGTATTTTCTCAAGTGCTTTTTGAAATAGTATCATCTTTCTACTGTTGTAGCTTTTGGCTGTTTATTCTTTATAGGCCTTAAAACTGATGAAGGTATGGTAATTCTGTATGTCAATCTGTATCCCTCCAATTATTGCATTTTGTTATTATTTGAATTAGCTTAATCACTGGTTTTTTTAGGGTTTGCCTGGTACACGTTATATCAGTAAAAACATTCTAATCAGTTGGAAAATGCAAAAATTGGGACCTAAACATCAGCTCCCAAATCACAAGTAGGTATAAAAGTTAATTATTTGGTAGGTGAAGTTCTTGGAACTTGGAATATGTTTTTTACATAGAAATGATGTTATGCGTAATCAGCTGGACACCA